AGGTGTCTTTGAAGTAAAAAAAAGATACAAGTTTTAAAGAGAAATGCTCAGTCAATAGTGATGAATACTGCACAAAATCAACAATTGGTGTTAATTAGTGACTTTCTAAGAGTTATTTTAATAGAATGTTGGGGATAAAAATCTGATTACAAGGGTTATAGATTGGGTGGGTAGTAAGAAGGAAAAAGGATAGGCAATTCTCTAAAGAAGTCAAATGATGAAGGAAAGAGACTTAAGGGATAACGAAAGGTTTTTATTTTTCATTAACTGTAAACCTGAGCATGTCTGCAAGAAAGAAGTTAAAGCTGAGGAAATGAATATTCAAGGCATGGATTCTATGTGTGAAAAAGAAGATACTTTATTCAGCAAGATTGCAAAGAATTACCATAAAGAGTTGGGACTAAGGATTTAAGTAGAAGTTAGTTATGGTAAAGAGGAATGACAACATGATCCCAAACGATAGGATGGATGAAAAGAAAGACATTTTTAGAAGTTGAAAGGTGACAGTGCTTTCAGATGGGTCTAAGTCTTTCATTAAAATAAGATGTAAGGGACTTCCCTGTTGGTGCAGTGGTTAAGAATCTGCCTGCCAATGCAGGGGACATGGGTTCAAGCCCTGGTCTGGGAAGATCCCACATGCCGTGGAGCAACTAAGCCCACGTGCCATAACTACTGAAGTCCGAGCACCTAGAGACTGTGCTCTGCAACAAGAGAAGCCACCATAATGAGAAGCCTGGGCACCACAAGGGAGAGTAGACCCCACTCGCTGCAACTAGAAAAAGCCCGTGCGCAGCAACCAAGACCCAACACAGCCAAAAATAAATTAATTAAAAAATAATAATAAGAGGTAAATTCAGTCACCAGGGAAGAATGAGCGAAGTTTTAGCTTTTTCACTGATATCGTCAGAGAGTGAACAAGAAAGGAATTAAAAAAAGAGCCAAGAAATATTTGAGCTGCACCGAGGGCCCTGTTGAAGTGAGTTAGTCTTAGCTGTACCATATCTATATTATAATTATCAGTATATGCGTTTGCACCCCTCATGAAATTATAAATTATATTGATATAAAGGCAGAAAATGTTTATCTTGTTCATCACTGTATCTCCACAAGCTAACGGAACTCAATGAATACTTCGCAAATGAATATGTAGTGGACACAATCCACATATTGTCAAAAATTCCTTAGTGTGTTAGTGTTTGAAAGATACTATGACTGAGAGATAAAAAATATCTTTGACTGATATTTAAGTTGTCTTCCTAAACGTATAAAAGATACTAGACTGTCCCTTTAAGTAGAAGACAGAATCTGTTCAATAAATTAAAAGGCATCAGGGGTAAAAATAAGTATTTTAGAAAAAAAGGCACCAATTAGGTGTTTTGGTTATGGTCAGATTAGAGTTTGAGTTTGACCTTTAAGCTACTTTAGTAAGAATTAATTTATCTGGAGTTCTTGGTAAATGAGATATTCTACACAAATAAAGTTTCCAGATATTTGAAATCTCATTCTACCACTTAGAATAATACTTTTATATTTTTTTGTCATTTTGGATGAAAATTTAAAAAAAATGCATTTCACGTATTCCTGTCATCCAAAACAGAGCTGAATAAAGATGATTTAACCTTTATTAAATATATGGTAGTCAACACTATGATATCAATTATTACACCACAGAGTTGTGGAGGGCTGAGTTATGAGAGCTACAAGTCTCTATTGTGAGTAGACCTACACGCCTACGCTTGTTAATTCCTGTTTTTTAATTGGCCCCCTTTGCTATTACCAAAGTGCTTGTCCACTTCTTAATCTGTTACTCTACTCTGGAGAAGGGAGGGAAACATGTTTGTTAAAACTGTCTCAAATATTAAAACAATAACCACAAAAAAAACCATCTCAAGAGTGAATTTATCAATGGATATTCTTTTGTACTATTTAGATTTACCACCATGTGCAAATGTTTGTTTTCATTAAAGATGGGGGACAGAAGTTTTTGTGAGTGTGTTTAGAGCAAAAAGATTTGGAGTGGGGACTTATAGACAGCCTTCTGCCTAATGTGCATGAGGTTTTAGAACACAGGTTTAGTTATTTGCCAACTGAGAGATTCATCTACGCTTTTATTATTATTATTTTGCTTTCTCTCCGATTATCAGCTATGCTTCTAATAACTCAAGGTTGCCAAATAAGTAGTTGTTCTAGCTAGTTATGTCCTTTAGCCATTAAACTAATTAAAAATACAAAAATAAAATAAAAACATTCCAAGAACCAATTTTAACTACTTTTAGTTAAGGTTTAAAAAAAAAAAGTGAGGGATTTCCCTGGTGGTCCAGTGGTTAAGAATCTACCTTCCAATGCAGGGGACGCAGGTTTGATCCCTGGCAGGGGAACTAAGATCCCACATGCCGTGGGGAAACTAAGCCCATGAGCCTCAACTACTGAGCATGCGAGCCACAACTAGAGAGCCCGCGTGCTCTGGAGCCTGCGTGCCACAACGAAAAGATCCCACTTGCTGCAACCAAGATCCCGCGTGCTGCAACTAAGACCCTATTCAGCCAAAAATAAAATAAATAAATAAATATTAAAAAAAAAAAGAAAGTGAGTGAATGTGGGTGAGAAGGGTCGGCATTGGCACAGTATTATAAAATAATAATGTTTGGTATTTTTATAATATACTCAATGAATATTTTAATAAATTTATCTGTAAACACAAATCAATGAAGGTTTCTTTCATACAAGTCTTTTCATTAAATATAATGATGCTATTTTCAATCTGACATTACTTGTTTTGCAGATACCTATCTGCCTGCATGAGCACAGGGGTCAAATTGTGGTTCAGAATAAAGCAGTATTTTAAGATATTTTCATAGTCCTGAAGAGAAATTCTGGCACATTAAAATCCATCTGATTGTTCAGGATTATTTTATTCGTTTTCACCCAAAATTCTTTTTCTAAAATATTGAATTTCGAGTTAAAATAAAACAAATATTGAATAAAATCTGAAGTGCTCAGTAGAACTGAAATGAACAAAATATTTTCCAATAACTTTCACACAAGGTAAGGAATATAAATTTGAAACGGCATAAATGCTGTTGCCAATGTAGAAGTAATTAAATAATTTTAAACTATGAGCAATCTATGATGATCTTTATTTATTTTTTTGCCACATGGCATGTGGGCTCTAGTTCCCTGACTAGGGATCGAACACGCGCCCCCCTGCAATGGAAGCACAGAGTCTTAACCACTGGACCGCCAGGGAAGTCCCCTATGATGACCTTTTAAAAGGAAACCTTGAGAATGCTGAAGTTCTAGTACTAAGCTAGTCTTACAGTTTAAGGAAAACTCAGATAGAATAGCTGATAAGGCTTTTACACTAATTTTCTGAAATAAGGCAGAAATATATTTTCATTATATATCACATACTTTCCCCAATGTATCTGTGAAAAAAAAAAAACTGCCAATGAACCAACTCCCAAATCCAGAGGCCATCTTTTTAAAAGCAAGCAATGAAAAAGTCTCTTCTAAAACTTATGTAAGCATGTAGAATTCAAACCTTTCTGTGTTCTTCTATATAAGGTTGTAACCAGAGCAAATTAATTGTGTTCCACAACAAAGGCATAAAAGCTGGATAAGAATCTTGTTTCACTGGTAGAAATTAGATCTCTGGAAATCACTCTAAGGTTCACTGGGCAGAACCTTCACAGAATTAAAGCTCTAGTATCTCTAGATTGTATCTTATTCTTTCTCAAATGGGAAAAACAGCCTAGGGTTAATCTAAAACAGAACTACGTTAAGCTAAAATGACAGAGTTTATTACAGTCCCCCCAATATTAAAGAGAGCTCTTAAGAATATAACTTGAATAAGGGTCACGAACTGGTTTAACATACTTAACTAGTGATTTTATGAGTTATAATGAATGCTGCTACTCTCTAAAAATGAATGTATCAAAGATGAAATAACCTCCTTGGCACGCTTACAGCTATACAACACATTTGTTTCATTGCTTTCAAGCACCAGTGCTGGAGGCTCAGAATAAGTCAATGGGAGGAGGACTTCAGTCACAGCAGCATCTGGTCTACTGAGCAGATAAGATGACATGCTTGGGAGAGTAAAGAGCAAGCAAGAGGTAAGTATTTAACAAATAAATATAGAGTTGATCTAAAGAGTTTTCTTTTTTACTTTCTTCACAAACTCTGCTACCATAATCTTTTATTTCTATTCAGTGGTTAAAAAAACCAAAATGAAAAATTTACAAATGTTAAAGGGGAGATTTTTAACGTGGGATTTGTAGATTTTATGAATAAATGATTTAATCTTCCTCTCAGCTTCCCCTCCTTCCCTCGGAAACTGGGAAGGTTAAGAAAAAATTATTACTTAAAACCAAAAAAGAACTGGTTCAAATTTGGCATAAAGCGATAAACATAAAGTGATAAATTTGGAAAATATTTGTTGCAGAAATATGCTTTCTTTGAAAGATGAAATAAGTAAAAACAATTATCTGGATTCTAGTAATACGTATTTTCTCCCCTTCTTTCAAACTAAAGGAGTTCTAAAATGTTTTACAAAAATGGCATTTATATCAGTATTAAAATAAACCTGCTCAGACAAAACCCAATTACAAATAAGGATTCCTAGCTGGTAAATCATTTATTTATACGTTAGGGGGGCTTGGAGTGTTTCTAGGTAGATGGCCAGTGTGTATGAAAAGTTCTATTCAGAACTATTTGGTGCTCTGATGTTTCTAATCTTCTGTACATATTCTAAAGTAAAGGTAAAAAGACATTCAAGGGTCAGGAAACACCTAGGTTTTTATTATACCACTGAAAAAATTAATATATCTTGTTTCATTAATTGGAGCATACCAGGCATACGTTTATGAGGATTGGCTGCATTGTCACAAATGCACAAGAGACCTATTGAGAAGGGAGGGGCTACTAATAAATTCAACTTTTTAAACTGGGTTTTGAAAATAAAGAAATAAAATAATGCAATTGACATATTTTATATCTAGGGGGAACTCTCTGGCATTCAAATTCAAACTCGACTCCACCACTACAAGAAAAAAAAAGAGGGAGAGAGAGAAACCAAAAATATAGTCTTTTTTTCACAGCTATCAGTTTCTTTCACTAAGCTTTCTGAAACCGGAACCTCTGCAGAATACTAAACACTCGGGCCTTACCTACAGACATGGACAAATGTATGTATGCTCTCATTTTATAGAACTTGAAATTCTTTTTTTAAGGAAGGAGTCAACTTTGGCCTTGAGTATTTGGCATGGGTACAAAGGCTTAAAAATGCAGATGACCAGCTTAGCTACTGACCATGCTGACCACTCTCTGGAATCGGAAAAAATTAAAGAAAAACAATGAATGGCTCTCTCTTATAGAATATTCGAACAACGCACAATTCCTGAGCACATTTGACCATTTAATCTCTTCTAACTGGTCTGGATTACAGACAGAATCGATACCAGACGAAATGAAACAGCTTGTTGAGGAACAGGGAAATAAGCTGCACTGGGCAGCTCTTCTGATACTCATGGTGATAATACCCACAATTGGTGGAAACATCCTCGTTATTCTGGCTGTTGCACTGGAGAAAAAGTTACAGTATGCTACCAATTATTTCCTAATGTCCCTGGCAGTGGCTGATTTGCTGGTTGGATTGTTTGTGATGCCGATTGCCCTCTTGACAATAATGTTTGGTAAGTATTTCATTTTGTTCCTGCCATCAAACCACCGAACTATGGTATACTATTAGAGAAACAGATACTCATTTAATCTTTAAATATGGACTTGGACTATTTAAAGGTACAGTGAGTAAACAGTCCCTCATTTTTCATCATTTTCTATGGTTGATAATCAGTTTTAAAGAGCAAAAAATAATTTCTTGGAAACAATTTCATTCCCTCCTCAGCCACCTAACAAAATCATTTAAAAAGTCATCCAAGTTAGCAATATTCATATATTCTGCATACATTACCTAAAAATTATTGTGAAGAACAGACCTATACTTTACCCCATTACTAGTACTTTTTTTTTCTTGATAAAGCAGTATCTAGGACACTGCTGTGACCGTTAATGTGCTGGGTTAATTATTAATAATAAGGTCTTTGAATCACTAAATTCCAATATAAATCTCTAAACCCCAATTTAAATTGGAATTGTTCTAAAAAGTCTTGTTATATCTCTTTATAGTTTGTGTACTTAAGACTTAAACACAAGTCTTACACATGTGTCTTGTTAACAAAAAACTATGTTTAGTTGCTGAAGGAATGGTCTGGCTCAGAGCATCTCAAGAGATGATCCATCTGTTTAATTTTTATGATTTCTGACCACTTGTGTCCTTGATATATGTTAGAGGAATCAGACCTCTAAGTTACTAAAATAAGGGATCAAAACCTGAGTTATTACAATAATTTAAAATATAATTAGAACTGAAATCTTAGTTATAATATTGATAAAAAAGATAACGATATTAAAATGATATAAGTAGTCTCCTATTCATGCATATCATCTCTAGTTAGAGAATTTGGGTAAACACAAATAATTCTGATTATGAATTATGAGGGCTCTTAACAATCAGCATTAAGAGAATAACTTATTTAATGCTTGACATTAATTGATATTCCATTCATTAATTGCTTAAGAAAAAATGATTATTTGTAGCAGATAGGGCTTCTTGGAATTGCTTATATGGTGAAGATAAAAATATTTCAGGTTATAGAAGTAAAATTTATTAACTAGAATATATATTAGAAGGTGAAGAAAAACTGCCATTCAAACTATTGTATTCAGGTTTAAATGTTACATTTTTATAAGTAAGTACAGAAAGATATCTAAAAGTAAGTACTTGATCCCCCATATATAATCAGATGGTGACGGGCTAAAACTTCCCATTCTAAATCAACTCTTATCCAGGCTTTAAATTCTGTGGTAGGACATGCAGTAATGAATAAGGTTTTCTGCTTTAGAAGACTCTCTAATCATTAATATTGCCTGTCTATACCCCTCCCTTTTACAAATTTGCAACCTTTTGAATAATCTAGTGCTACACATCACCATGGAAAATAATTAAGAAATCTTACTCTAAAGGAGAACCTAAACAATCTTAATTCTGAATAAAGTTTAAAAGAAATAAATGAGGATTATGCAGGAACATTTATGCATATATGGTAAAGGCTGTATAGGCATTGATTCAAACTCTTATCTCCATGCACACAATAGTTCAATGTGTCAAATCACTCTTTAAATTGTGCTTTGCTAGGCGTACAAAAAATATTAAAATGCTCGTCTCATACTACCACAAAATTTAATTGACGTTATGTTGAATAAATGAGATTGAAGTGAATTTTAACTTTAAAATCCATGAGTCCATCAAACATCTATTAGTCTTTGCAAAATACTGTGGTAGATACTTAAATCAACAACTAAACAGTTAAGGAATCTTAAAAGGCAAAGTTTCATGGCATTAAATAAGCTGACAAACAAAACACAAAAGCAGACAACAGTTATAATCCCATGTATTCCACAGGAAAACAGTAGGTATATAGCAGCTGAAAACTAAGTTTATATTTAAATATTTGGGGCCCAAGATATTCTTAGCTATAAGAGTCAGCAGAAAATCCAACATACTTTAACACAAAATATGTAGAATGTCTTCCTATGTCTGAAATAATTACATTTTTAACCTCATTTCCTTCTTTCAAATGTAAATTTTTAATTACAAAATAAACTCTTTCATAGACTGAAACACTTCTACTATCAGTAATTAAGCTATATAGAAACGTTAGTAGATTTTTAAAAATAAACTAACCTGGGAACTTAACCACTATTCAAAATATTACTGAATTAATTCATTACTGAAAACATTATCCTATTTCTATGAGAAAATATATGAGAAAATGCATGTTGCCCTCTAAAAAGCTTCAAAAGGATGCATTCATAAATTGGGAAGTGCACATATTATAAATGGGGGCCTGACTTCAAATACTAAGATTTTTTGATAGCCTTTCATGTGTTAACAAATACTAAGACTTTCTAAATTAATGCATTTATAAGGATTTCTATAATCTTAAAATGCAGGAGTAGATTTTGTGTATTTTTCTCTCATTATAGGGATAATCTTCAGAACTTCTGAAGTCTGTACAAACAAAAGTGTCCCTGGCTCTGTAAACATAAACAAACTAATTACCACTATGAATGACATAAGTTGTTTTAGTTATCTCACGGAAATTCAACGAAAGTAACATTGAAACTTTATATTCTAATAAAATGTAGTTTTTAAAAAAAAGGAGAGCACTGAAAATTTTAAAGTGGATTTTACACTGAGAAACATTTTATTCAACCAATAATTTGTATAATATTTGATTATATATTATTTGAATTTCTTCCAAGATTATTACGACTGGCAGGCAAAACATGGTCTTTCAAATTGTGCTACATCAACTTTTCTGTCACTTCTTCCTCTTTGGGAGCATTGGACTTAACCTTTACTTTCCAGTTTTTTACTGTCTTGTCTATAATTCTTAAAAATCATGATCACAAATTAGTAGCTTATAACATAAGGCTTGAAGTTGCTTAGGTTAGAAATACTTGAGTAGGACGCAAAGGAAAACAGAACGTCATATGCCGATATAAAAAAGAAAGATTATTCACAGTTTAAGAACGTCTCTGAACTTTGCCTTCTCTCATGAAATAAATGATTAAAAATGTAAAGGGAGTAAATACAGCATTTGGTCATTCATTGGTCATTAGTGGCTTATTTACAACAAGTTTTAATCCATGTCTCATGATCTGTAAGTTGAAGCAGTATCTGTGGTACAGTTGAAAGAGGGTGTATAAAATGGCTGAAAGATGGGGGTTTGAAGCAAGATACCCTAGGCTTTGAATCCTGGTTCTCTTGTATTGGCTTATGCAAGTCACTTAACAACATATCAGAGTTCAATCACCTTGTCTGTAAAATGGTTATGCTACATCTTCCATTGCCAATATCTTGTGAAATTGTCAAGTAGGTCCCAGCACGTTTTAGGCACTAATAATTGGCAAGTACCAGTACAACATGCAAAGGGTTTATATACTTAAATATAAGATTTAGTTTGGATGTGAGTTTCACCAGAGATGAGATAAATGTATAGCAGTAAAAGAAAAACAAATCAGTTATTCATTTATGCAGTGAAATGCTGCTCTACCTAATTCTTAAATGAGGGAGCAAAGCAATTAAAGGCACTTCTTTTTGGAAAGTGGAAATTTTAAAAAACCAAGGAAAAATTTTTATAAGTATTAAATCACTCGAAACGCTTAAAACACTCTATTGGACATCTAACCCCAGGATACCTCATATGCTCAAATGTAACGAAAAAACAAGAATAACAAAAACAAAGCAGAAGCTTTGTAATAAAAATTTAAGCACTGGTCTAGGTCTGTCTTTTCCAGAAGATAAATATAGAAACATAAGAATTTGAGATTAAAAAAAACGTGTACTTGAAAACTATGTCCTTTTTGGACATTAGAGCCATTTAGGATTTGTCCTACTCCAATACATTCATGAACTATTTACCTCCACGAACATAGTCCTCTTGGGATGGCTTTAAAAATAGTCTTTAAATCCTTAAAAGGGAAATCTTTTATGTGCCAGATTCAGAGATTAATGTCAATTACTTTCCAAAACAAAAAAACAAACAAAAAGACATGGCAATGTTTGGCAATGCACATAGGTTACTTATGCTTCTTTGCCACATATATAACATAGTTAAAATTCAACTTTAGTAAAAGGCATACTTTCATGACAAATTTAATTAAAAGTTGAACAGTTAAACATGTTCTCATGTCCTTTTTTTGAAGTACAGTTTTAAGTTTAATTGGATGCACGCACTCTTGCTACAGCAGGCAGGAAGACAAACATACCAGGTTTTATACTGATGATATGGCTCATTGTTTCTAAGTGGGAGTGTTTTAATGGTTGGGCTAGTTGGCTAGTTTCCGTCAAACAATAATAGTAATAACAACTAACATTTTGAGTGCTTTCTCTATGCCAGATATTGTTCTAAACACTTTACATGTATTATTGCATTTAATCCTCAAAGCAACTCTATAAAATCAGTATTATTATTATCATCCCCATTTTACAAGAGAGGACATAGGAGTAAGTAAGTGGCAGAGATACAATTTGAACCTAGGAGAACTGATTCTAGAATTCACACTCTTAACCTCTGTTACACTGCTTTCTCAAATGAAATGAGAAATTATATCAACCAAAGCTATAATATTTGGCAAAGACAACATTTATATCTTAAATAACTTGATCTAACAGGAGGGCCATAGAGTTTTCTCTAGGGACAAGGCAGAACCCAATATTTTTTTAAGGTTATATTTCATATTAAATGATACAGAATATGTGGGTCTTAACCAATACTTGCATGAATCCTTGAAATGATTGCCAGACATCTTTTCTGAGGAAGATATTAGACATAGGTCTAAGAAGTTACTGAACCTTCCCTGGGAGACAAGTAGAAACGTATGTAACTGAACGGCAGTTCTACCACCCCTTATGTATGATGGTACAGCACACAAGTCTTCATTTTAAACAAGATATTTGTGCTACTAATATTTTTAGATAAATAACAAACTGTCCATGATCCAAGACTCATCTAAGACTTGTTTTGCTCCTATAATTATCAATTTGTAATTATTTTAGGCACCCAAAGAAATGCCATTATTCAAACCTTACTGGAAGTAAATTCCTCTTTGAGTTTAATGGAGTGGATAGGGCAACGAGGTGGGAAATGGGATTTGTTTTTGTTTTTGTTTTTTTTGCGGTACGCGGGCCTCTCACTGTTGTGGCCTCTCCCGTTGCGGAGCACAGGCTCCGGACGCGCAGGCTCAGCGGCCGTGGCTCACGGGCCCAGCCGCTCCGTGGCATGTGGGATCTTCCCGGACCGGGGCACAAATCCGTGTCCCCTGCATCAGCAGGCGGACTCTCAACCACTGTGCCACCAGGGAAGCCCGGGATTTGTTTTTCAGAGAAATTTTGTATGCTTTCTTTTTGTGGGACAACAAATACTATATAATTTAAATGTCTTCCCCTTTCTGTATGAGCTTTTATTAAAAAAAAGTCTAATTTAGAGCCCCAGCAGTAATAAATTTAGTTTAAGTACCTGATAACTTATTTCCCTTAGATTCTTTCTTTCTTTTTATGTTCCATTTAAAATAATACATTACATTCTTATGGAAATAAGTTAGACATAATACATTATAACAAATAAATGAAATTATAAATCCTTAAACCAAATTAAAACTCCTAATAAAAATAACATATAAGTTTTTGAATAGCTAACCTATCTCACCATACCAAGTTAACCTTTTTCAGCTACTCTGAATAGTAAAAAACTTTTCTGACCTTGAGCCTATCAAATTAATACTATTTAGAATGAAAATATCTGGACTAGAAAAAATCCTTTCATAAACTGAGAATGTCTAGAACTGTTTTTAACTTGTATAAATTATTGTATCACGTGATTTCTACTTTAGGCAATTATTTTAGCTTTGCATAAAAGATACCTATTTAATGCAGTCATCTGTTACTTTTATACTAGTTTCATAAAAACAGTCTATTCACTAGTATTTCATGAAACTTGGAATCATAAAGGTTAATCAAAAAGATCCATCACTCTTAATTCTAAATCTCAGTCTCTTTCTTTCTTAAAGAAATTTCTCTATCACGTTTCAACATCTCTACTATTATCAATTAAGAAAGCACTCAAGTAATAAAATTTTAATGATCTGCATTAATTTTAATATCCACTATCCACTTTCTGTTCCAAAATTGGAGTTTATAAAATAAATTCATTATGTTGGAAAAGGAGGCTAACAAGGTTTCACAGGCTTAACTAAAACCAGCACTAAAGAGCTTTCCCTCTTAGCTCAAAATTAGAAGCATGTGGGTCAGGCAGTTCAATTCCAAAGACATGTACTTTTCATATGAGAATTCTATTGTGGCTTCCTGCTCACAGCTACTAGATTTATGACTAGAATTTTCCAGACCTTAATTTAAAAAAATATAATCCATAATTAGAATAGCTAAATAGGCAAGTTTAAATTTATTAGCAACCCACTTTGAAAGATGATGGAGATCACGCATTTAAAAAAAGGAAGCCTAAGATATAAGACATTAATTATCTGCCTTTTAAAATCCTTAACTATGATTAACATCTCTGGTTGTAGCTCTAGGCTTGAGTATTTTTCTACTTCCTACTCAGTTCTAAATCTGAACTTCAGGATAGTTGAAGATGAAGCCTCACTTCAAGTAGCTTCCACTGCAAAACTATGTGTCATGTATGATTCTTTCCACTCTAGACCATAAGTTTGCTTAAGCTCAGGTCAAAGAGTACATTGCTGCCGTTGTTCAAGGTCCTTTTCCACTAGTTAACAGGAAAACTGAACACTACGGCTAAGAGGGAGAAAGTTTGATTGATTAGATTCATTCTAAACACAAGTTTCTCTGCCATACTTTATTTCTTTATTTATTTTGAGCGGTCTTCCATAAGTTTGTTTCTGTGAGGAATTCTGAGTGCCTATCCTACGCCAGCAAACTCAATACACAACCTTTTCAAGAAAGCAGTGCTTCTCAAACACTAATCTGCATACAGATCACCTGGGTATTTCCTTCAACTGCAGTATGATTCAGTACCTAAGGGATGAGGCCCAAGAGCCTGCAGTTCTAACTAGTTCCTAGGTGATGCTGATCCTTGCTGATCTGAAGAGCACACCTTGAGTAGCAAGGCCCTAAAGAACACTTTCAATTAACATTTAAATTTTGATAAATAAATGCTCCCTCTCATATTCAAAGACTTAATTGTACCACAATTTACTCATCCACAAAATCAATGATATAATCTCTAAGGTCTCTTCCAGCTCAATGACTGTAATTTATCATCTCTTATCCCCACCCCCAATTCAGTGAAGTAGGACAAGTCTGATTACAGTAATTTACTTAAAAGTATGAATTACTCCTTCCACCTAATGCTTTAAATCCTTCTGAAAGAATCTGCTGAGCATGGAACCAAGTACCAAGGAATCATTTATCTTTTTTCAATAAAAAATTCATACTGATTTTGTTTTAAAAAGAAATATTTTAATATTTCTATTAAGCATGCCACATACCAACTCTGGAAACAGAAGGCACCAAACGGTGTGTTTGTCAGCCTTGCTACCTACCTTTTGTTTTTGCTACCTACTTTTTTTTTTTTTTTTTTGCTACCTACCTTTTTTTGTGAAGTATCCAAATATTTTTCACTGAGATCCCACTTGAGTCTTGAAAAAGACATATGCAAGTCTATCTAAAACCTCTTTCCCTAAATTATGGTCCTTTTTTGATCTGGGATACTAACCTTTCTCCACACCCAGGCTTCCTGAATTTAAACAGTTTACAATTAAAGGGTCTCTTGGTGCTCTGAAATCCTGAGATAGTTATCTTGGTTCCCTCTTCAATTATCTCAATCATTTTATACCTGTCAAAGTCGGATATACTCGCAAAAGCCAGGAAAAGAAAAGTAGTTTACATGTCAGTGGACATACAATTAAACCATAAAAAGGGTTTATATAATCTCATACGTATGACATTTGTTCTATACAGGAGGAATTTGCTTTTATGGCAAGTTCTAAAATCTGTGTGTGTTTGTAAAATGGATTCTAACTGAAATACTCTAGGACAATCGCTATAATAAATTTTAGTTGTTTTAAGACTGCAAAATTTAGTAGTGAGTATATGTATAATGCATAATGTATCACATTCATATATGTATGAATACTCGTCTAAGTAAATTTATTGGAAAACTATCATACCCCAAACCTGAAATTTTTTTAAAAAGTTAATATTTCTAAAGTGTTTCAGACTGTATGAAGTATAGAATAAATGCTTTTTAAATAAAAATTTGTTAAATAAAGTACTATGCTTAATAATGAGATTTTCTTTTTAAACCCAAGTCTGTACTGTTTATTACATCTCCTTGCTTGGAGTGAAGGATGGACTATATTGGAAGGGTAACAACCCATTTTTCTTTGGAATAATCTGAAGCCATTCCTTTTGCAAACTTTATTTAAGAACTATTTCTGTCAAAAGGAAAACTCAAGTCATTCCATTTAATTATTTCACCAAATTAGAGTTTGCTATAAACAAGGATCATACTGCTAGTTAATGCTAGAAGTGAGCCAAAATCCCAGGCCTCACTGAGACTGCCATGCTAATATTCTTTTTGCCACATTATATTGCTTCCTCTATTTGGTAAATGTTTTTTTTTTCTTAAATACAATAGCAGTTTAAAAATAAATTTTATCTGAATAGTAAGGTTAAGTTCCAGTTGCAACACTGTATAAATTTTTAAAAGATCACAAAAGGAATACACAAAAGAGCAAAGGTCAAAATAATGCTAAAAATGCTAAACTGATTTAGGAAAAGAGCTGTAATTATTATACAAAACAGAAAATGTATTTAAAGGGTACCATCTACAGAATGTATTTAATATTACTGACTCCATTATCTGAAGTCAAACATTACCTTGGAGCTTAAGTCGTAAAATTTCAGATGAATACAGAAAAAGGTTAAAAAATATGTATCACTTAAAAAAGAAACTGCAGATTAAAGGTTGCCATTTTGAGGAGAATATGTTTTTGTTTTGTTTTTCTTTCTTTCAGAGGCTATGTGGCCCCTCCCACTCATTCTATGCCCTGCCTGGTTATTTCTTGACGTTCTTTTTTCTACTGCATCCATCATGCATCTCTGCGCCATTTCAGTGGATCGTTACATAGCCATCAAAAAGCCAATCCAGGCCAATCAATATAACTCGCGAGCTACAGCATTCATCAAGATTACAGTGGTGTGGTTAATTTCAATAGGTATGTGGGGAATGTCAGGGTGTGGGGTGGTGTATATAGGCTTTGGTTCCATTTGGCTAGGAGATTACCAGGCCTGGTAGACACTGTTACACCAATACAAGCTCCTCACAACATTACATTCATCGTATAGCCTCTAAAGCACACTATCAGCAAAAAGTGTGAAAAAGAAGAAAAGTTCAAGGCTTGATTTTGACATGCAGGAAGACTAAATCTGAAAACAGTTTTCATATTTGTCAACTGATCATTAAGGTCTGGGTAGCATGCAGAATCTTGAAATTTTATTAAAGTAACAACAATTAAAAAAAAATGAAATGCATCTTAAATCACACCTAAGAAGATAAATAGGAAAAGAGGAAAAAAAACAAAAAGAACCCAAACTTTTTGTATGCAGGTATCAGAGTTCATATATTCACCTTGGAAACCAATATGTACGCAGACTAAAGGCATTACTGTCTAAGTGTTTTGAACATGTTTAATTACAAGTTTTAAGAGATACACAAACGATGTTCAGAAATAATTTTTGGGAGAAACTGTATTTCTTCTAAACTGTTTTTATGCCCCTATGCCCATGTTTAATACTCAAAGATAGCTGCTATATTAGAGTATCTTAGCATGAAGTACAGCATAAATGATAACTCAAATCTTTTAAGTAAGTTAGTATCAGAAAAACAGATTCACAATGGTTACTATGATCATTAACAGTCTGCCAGCAGATTCACTTTCTCCTAGTAAGGAAAAATTCAAAGAAGAAAAAAAATCAAGAGAGACCTGAAAATGCTAAAAGGAAAGCAAGAAAAAGATGTGACTTCTCTCCCTAATCAGAAAAAAGAACGCTGGGGGAAAAATCAAGAAAGCAAGACATTGAAAATGACCTTTATATTCTCGGAATAAAGATACCAAGGCCAAACCTCTTTTGAAAAATTTGGAGGTAAAACTAAGGACTGTTACTAGTCTGGCTTGGGAGGAAATTAGGGTCAAGGAAAACTCTATTCAGAATGGAGGTATCTGCAAGTAGAGAGAAAAGGCTAGCTTTGGGGACAGAGGCTGATTGATAGAAGAGGCCCCTAAAAAAGAAGCTACGGAAAAGGCATGGATGGGTGACAACTGCCAAAATTTAGAGTGGAGAGAAGGAAAACTAAAGTAGTTCATGTCAAACAACCCATACCTTTTTGGTAAGCTCAGTGTGATAAGGGAGAAGGAAAGGGAAACAGTGTGTGTTGGGGTAGGCTGGAGTGGGGGGGTGGGGGGGAGACAATAGGGCAAAGGTAGAGGGAAAATAGGAGAAATGGCTCCTTAAGAGAATTAAAACATTGAAACTGAAATATAATCAAGCCAATAAACAGCCTGTTGGTACCTCAATCAAGGCTGGATGACATGAATTTATAAATTGATCAAATTTATAGAGTACCTATGATATGTTAGGTACCAAGAATACAAAGATAAATAAGAAAAAGAATCTTTGCATTCAGGAAGATGGACTAATACTAAGTGATATGTATACAGGAAGAAAAGAATAAAAAGATGAACCCAAATTTACAGCTTCGAAGGATCTTACAAATCTACTTTTTCCTTTTACAGATGAGAAAAGAAACCTAGAGGTTTTAAACAGTTGGCTTAAAGACTTAACAGCTTTTTAGCACAAAGGCCAAGATCAATGCCATTTTCATTTCATCACACTTTGTGTTGTAGAACCAATGACAGTTTAGTGACTTTGTAAAAGAAAAGGCAAATAATGAGGTTAGTTCAGTTTTTAAATTCTACAAAGTGCTAAAAAAAAAAAAAGAGCTCACTTTCTTCTTCTGAATTTACAGTTATCCTAGGTAACATCTGACAACAGTAAGGCGAAAGGAGAATAAGAGGGTAAGGTATAAAAAATACTAGTGAAAACTTAAATGTCATTGACCAACAAGCTGGTTGGGAAGGTAACCTGAGCCTTGATGGGAGTTAGTGGAATGTGAAAAAAGAGAAGGAAGGATGAACTAGATCTCAAGATAACTGTAAAGAGAAGTAATGAAGAGTAGCAGGACAAGAAAGGGAAATATCAGAGTTCATGATTTTCGATATGGGCCAGTTTTTTCTTTTTTTAATTTATTTATTTTTGGCTGTGTTGGGTCTTTGTTGCTGTGCATGGGCTTTCTCTAGTTGCGGTGAGCGGGGGCTGCTCTTCGTTGTGGTGTGCAGACTTCTCAGGCAGTGGCTTTTCTTGTTGTGGAGCATCTAGGCACACAAGCTTCAGTAGTTGTGGCATGCGGGCTCAGTAGTTATGGCTCATGGGCTCTAGAGCACAGGCTCAGTAGTTGTGGTGCACGGGCCTAGCTGCTTCACGGCATGTGGGACCTTCCTGGACCAGGGCTCGAACCCGTGTCCCCCGCACTGGCAGGCAGATTCTTAACCACTGCGGCACTAGGGAAGTCCCTATGGGGTAGTTTTAAGTGGACTTATGGATGGATGGCTTCAGGAGTGCATTGGAGTTGAAGAGTTCAAGAAATATAAAATTAGGTGTCAGAAGAGTAATAAATGGGATGAAGTCATGGAAGATGATAGCAAGGTTAACAGTGGATAGAAAACTATAGCAAGGGGCCGAAACCATTAAGGAAGACAGACATATATCCTGGAGGTTGGTAGATGATCTGGATGGAGAATAGAGTAGTATAAGTAGCTTAAATAGACTTTAAAAGGGAAGTGCTTTGGGGTGGGGAAAGAACAGTGTAATGATTACCTGGAAGTAACAGGGTAGAGGTGGGGCCAGCCAAGTTTTTCTATAAAGGGCAAGACAGTAAATATTTTGGTCTTACAGATGCTATATGGTTCTGTCAGAACTACTCAACTCTGCAGCAGAACAAAAGCAGCCACATATAATACATTAACAAATGGGTATGGCTGTGTTCCAATAAAGTTTTATTTAAAAAACAGAAGGCAGGCCAGATTTGGCCCTTGGGCTATAGTTTGCTGACCCCTAGTGTAGAAAAGAAAGTATACAGAATCCTCTTTCTGGTGTTATACCTGAGGAAAAGCAGAAAAAGCAGTGGCCTCCATTAAAAAGGGTTTGAGGAATATATTCTTGTCAAGGTCTCTTTGCTACCATAAAAAGGCTATGCAGGTGATAGGAGTACTTTTAGATTCATAAAAGTGAATTCTTTCATGATACTTCCTAGAGTTGTCTAAAGATCAATTAATTCAGACTTATTTTAAAGTATCTGCTGTTTCAAAGGGAAAGGATTAGGGTTAACCCTTGTGCTATCTTGCTAATAAGCTACTTCACTAATAAACAAGGTCATATTTAAATACCTACTTCATGGTATTTAAAGTATAATAAAATTAGCATGAGGTACATTTCTTTCATTTTTATTAGAGGAACCTTCAATCTTGAAAATAAATTTCATGGCTTCCTTGGTGGCGCAGTGGTTAAGAATCCGCCTGTCAATACAGGGGACACGGGTTCGAGCCCTGGTCGGGGAAGATCCCACATGACGCAGAGCAACTAAGCCTGTGCGCCACAGCTACTGAGCCTGCACTCTAGAACCCGCAAGCCACAACTACTGAGCCTGCACTCTAGAACCCGCAAGCCACAACTACTGGGCCCAAGTGTTACAACTACTGAAGCTCGCGTGCTTAGAGCCCATGCTCTGCAACAAGAGAAGCCAATGCAATGAGAAGCCCGTGCACCACAATGAAGAGTAGCCCCTGCTCACTGCAACTAGAGAAAGCCCGCATGCAGCAACAAAGACCCAACACAGCCAAAAATAAATAAATAAATAAATATTTTTTAAAAAGCAAGTAAATTTCATGATCCACTCGCTCTCAAATTATTAAGTAGCATTTGAAAAGAAAAACAATAAACCCTGAGTTTTCCCTAAGAAGTCAGAAAGAAAAGGTTAAAAGACATTCACAAATATCAAAAGATAAAACTGTCTGTTAAACGAAACTGTGTAGCCTCAAAGATTATAAAATAGGTATCTACTCAGAATTAAGATATTGCATGAATGTATTCTTAAGTCTCTTTAGCTCAACTACACTGGATATTAAGATAAAAGCAGCTTCTCTTCTGAATTCTTTTCCTTAACTGGGGATAGATCAACAAACAAAAATAGATAATGAGAAATGGAGAATAAATGAAGACATTCTCTACTACTTCATGCATACACTATGGTTTTAGGGAAGATTTAGTTACAAAACTGAAACCACTAACCAATCTCTTTAAGAACAGCAGGTTTGCTTACTTAGGTTCTATTTGTCAAATCTTCCATTGATTTACTGCTTGACAGATTCTGCATTGTGGGTACCAGGAATTACAATACACTAATAGGGTAAAGTCAGTAAGATAAACTTTAAAAGGGCCTAATCTAAGAGTCAAAGGTCATAAAATAACTCAATTTATCTTGTTTCTTCTTCCTTAGGCATTGCCATTCCAATCCCTATTAAAGGTATAGACACTGATGTGGGTAACCCAAACAACATCACTTGTGGGCTGACAAAGGATCGTTTTGGCAATTTCATGCTCTTTGGCTCACTGGCTTCCTTCTTTACACCTCTGGCGATCATGATTGTCACCTACTTTCTCACTATCCATGCTTTACAGAAGAAAGCTTACTTGGTCAAAAACAAGCCACCTCAACGCCTAATGTGGTTGACTGTGTCCACAGTCTTCCAAAGGGATGAAACACCTTGCTCAACACCAGAAAAAGTGGCAATGCTGGATGGTTCTCACAAGGACAAAACCCTGCCTAATGCAAGTGATAACATACTTATGCGAAGAACGTCCACAGTAGGAAAAAAGTCAGTGCATACCATTTCCAATGAACAGAGAGCCTCAAAGGTTCTAGGGATTGTGTTTTTCCTCTTTTTGCTTATGTGGTGCCCCTTTTTTATTACAAATATAACTTTAGCTTTATGTGATTCCTGCAACCAGACTACTCTCAAAATGCTCCTGGAGATATTTGTGTGGATAGGCTATGTTTCCTCAGGGGTGAATCCTCTGGTCTACACCCTCTTCAACAAGACATTTCGGGATGCATTTGGCCGGTACATCACCTGCAATTACTGGGCCACAAAATCAGTAAAAACTCTCAGAAAATGCTCCGGTAATGTGTACTTCCAGAATCCAATGGCAGAGAACTCTAAATATTTCATGAAACATAGAATGCGAAATGGCATTAATCCTGCCATGTACCAGAGTCCAATGAGGCTCCGAAGTTCAACCATTCAGTTTTCATCAATCATTTTACTAGATACACTTCTCACCGAAAATGAAGGTGACAAAACTGAAGAGCAAATCAGTTATGTATAGAGTAACGGCACAGTTTTTATGTAACTAATATAATGATGAGTAAGATAAAGAAGATATAAATATACCAAGAATTACATAAAGAAGAACTTTATATCATGTATCAAAAATCATCTCTTTAAATTAAGAATTATGTATTAAGATTACCCAATTTTATTAGGGCAAAATTATTCTAACGAAAAAAATCATTTTTGTATAGCTGCAAATTAAAACAATCCAGCACACTAGTTAAATGCTAAGATAGTCAAATGAAATAAAATTAAATAAATCAATAAACTTCGGGCTTACAAAAAACAATGTCACCATAAGAATTTATTTAGTTCCTAATTGTATGCAAAGCTATGCTAAGAATGAAATAAACAAAACAAGTATTAACCTTGTCTTCAAGGCGTTAAAGACATAAGGCATAACACAAAACAACAGTGATAGGAACAGAGGACTAAAAATAAGTGCATAAAATAATGATCACATCTGAAGGTAAGCTGAGATTGCCATTCATAGTCTGGCTTAGTTAAATGTAGTCACAATTTTGCACTGATCAGGAAACTGTCTTGATGGAAGGGGTAGGGAGAGTAGCTGGATATCACACAAAGTGACACGGTCTTAGAACTAGAGCTGTTTGTTAGATGGCTCACACCAGGCAGGTCTGCCGGAGGAGGAGGAGAAAGCAAATGAAACCAGTCTTGGGTACCTAAACCTCATTATGTTTCTCAAAGAGCCTGTGCATTATGTTTCTCAAAGAGCATGCAATAAGGCATGGGACCTTATTAATCCAGGAACCTAAATTTTAATGATCTTATAAACGAGATCATGGCTGCCTAAGCCTCCCCAAAGACTTGGTTGAACTTCTGGTACAAAATTTTTTATTCACCCTTTTGTTACTTTACTTTGCGCTACTAGATCTGGAATAAATCCAATCTATGCCGTTTACTAACTGATTGAATTTACAAAAAATACTTAATTTCTCAGTCTCCTCATCGTTTCATAGGGTTCTTATGAGAATGAGTTCATGTGGGTACTCTGTAAATGGAAGCCAATTCTATTTACTTTTGATATTTTAATTTTTTTTTTTTTTTGCGGTACGCGGGCCTCTCACCGTTGTGGCCTCCCCCGCCGCAGAGCACAGGCTCTGGACGCGCAGGCCCAGCGGTCACGGCCCATGGGCGCAGCCGCTCCACGGCATGTGGGATCCCCCCGGACCGGGGCACGAACCCACGTCCCCTGCATCGGCAGGCGGACCCCCAACCACTGTGCCACCAGGGAAGCCCCGGTAATTTAATTTTTTAATTATTTTGTTTATTTTTGGCGGCGTTGGGTCTTCATTGCTGTGCGCGGGTTCTCTCTAGTTGCGGCGAGTGGGGGCTACTCCTCATCGCGGTCCGCAGGCTTCTCACTGCAGTGGCTTCTCTTGTTGCGGAGCACGGGCTCTAGGCACGCGGGCTTCAGTAGTTGTGGCATATGGGCTCAATAGTTGTGTCTTGTGGGCTCCAGAGCACAGGCTCAGTAGTTGTGGTGCATGGGCTTAGTTGCTCCGTGGCATGTGGGATCTTTCTGGACCAGGGCTCGAACCCGTGTCCCCTGCATTGGCAGGCGGATTCCTAACCACTGTGCCACCCGGGAAGCCCTTGATATTTTATTTTTATGCTACTCACATAAATGGTGAATAAATTTAGGCTGAGGGAATCTGCAGTGAAGACAGCCCATATCTTAGCCTTTCCTTTTCAGGCTGACCCATTCTTATGCCTCAACCTATTGCTCCATCCTTGCTCCCTTCCAGGCAACACAGTTTAAGAAAATTATCACGAGAAATATGCTGGCTATGGAGAAGCTCACTCAGCATAAGAAAACCAGGTACATAAAATTCAAATTGCAGAATCCTTTCCTAGAACATGGTTCTATTACAGATCTTATGGGCTCTACGTCATCTGCCAGAAAGAGTATACCTTACAAATTTAACTCCTAAATCACTAAAACTTTAGGCATTTTTGCGACAACTCTTTTTTCAGCGGTGTTAAAGGTGGGTTATCTCCGCATGAAAGGATGCTTAACATCACTAATCATTAGAGAAATACAAATCAAAACTAAAATGGGGTTATCACCTCACACTGGTCAGAATGGCCATTATCAAAAAAAACTACAAACAATAAATGCTGGAGAGGGTGTGGAGAAAAGGGAACCCTCTTGCACCGTTGGTGAGAATGTAAGTTGATACAGCCACTATGGAGAACAGTATGAAGGTTCCTTAAAAAACTAAAAGTAGAATTACCATACTGCCCAGCAATCCGACTACTGGGCATATACCCTGAGAAAACTGTAATTCAAAAGGAGTCATGTACCACAATGTTCATTGCAGCTCTATTTATAATAGCCAAGACATGGAAGCAACCTAAGTGTCCATCGACAGATGAAGGGATAAAGAAGATGTGGTACATATATACAATGGAATATTACTCAGCCATAAAAAGAAACAAAACTGAGTTATTTGTAGTGAGGTGGATGGACCTAGAGACTGTCATACAGAGTGAAGTAAGTCAGAAAGAGAAAAACAAATACCATATGCTAATACATATATATGGAATCTAAAAAAAAAAATGGCTCTGAAGAACCTAGGGGCAGGACAGGAATAAAGACGCAGACATAGAGAATGGACTTGAGGACACAGGAAGGGGGAAGGGTAAGCTGGGATGAAGTGAGAGAGTGGCATGGACACATATACACTACCAAACGTAAAATAGATAGCTAGTGGGAAGCAGCCACACAGCACAGGGAGATCAGCTCGGTGCTTTGTGTCCACCTAGAGGGGTGGGATAGGGAGGGTGGGAGGGAGACACAAGAGGGAGGGGATATGGGGATATATGTATATGTATAACTGATTCACTTTGCTATAAAGCAGAGACTAACACAACACTGTAAAGCAATTATACTCCAATAAAGATGTTAAAAAAAAAAAGGGATGGGTTATCTCGAATAAGAGGCAAAATAATTTACATTCCTTAAAAAAAAAAAAAAAGTCATTCTTATCTATTTTGGTTCCAGTCTCTAATATGAAGTGTTTGGCGTATGTTAAGATTTACATTCTTGCCAAGTCAGAGATTAAGTTTTCAGATATCACTCCAACAGTATTCCAAACTGTGTCTTAGGTATCTGATGGCATATAAAATTGTTTCAGAAAATTTAAATACTAGAGATGGCAATCTCACTGGCAAAGCTCTATCCCTAGACAATCTAGATTAGAAGGAATATCTTCCCACATGCTCTATACTGACTTCAAATTTGTGTATGTGTTTAAACATATGCACACCCACAGAATTAACTATAAGACCTTTAAGCTGTTCAGCTTCAATTTCTGAAAAAAAATTCCTTGCTTACAGTTAGCTGAGAGCTAGTTAATGAGAGATCATTCTAGTATTTCCAGAAGGTTCTAGAAAAAGAAATACAACTCCAATATAAACTATTCCTGAAAAAGTACAACACAGCACAAAATTTTTAGCATTTTGATACATAACTGATATTTCTATTCTAAAACATTTTAAGGAAATCTATATTTAAAAGCAAATCTCGAAGTTAACCACCACTATGGCAACAAAGGGACTCTCTTTAATAGTCCTACCTTCAAAGAAAAGGAATAGATTGTACCTATTTAGAAGAATAATTTTGAAAAAAATTTTTTTCACTCCACTCCGCATTTATTTATTTATTTCTTGCGGTACGCGGGCCTCTCACTGTTGTGGTCTCTCCCACTGCAGAGCACAGGCTCCGGAAGCGCAGGCTCAGTGGCCATGGCTCACGGGCCTAGCCACTCCACGGCACGTGGGATCTTCCCAGACCGGGGCACGAACCCGTGTCCCCTGCATCGGCAGGCGGACTCTCAACCACTGCGCCACCAGGGAAGCCCCATTATTATTGTTAATTGAATGCGAGGGGAAAACAAAGATGCAGATAGAAGGAAGAATTAAAAAAACAAAACTAAAGGAAGTTACAGCATCCAGACACTAGGGCAGAAACAGAAAACAGCACACAGAGAATATGTATCAAATTGATAAAAAATTGTGAATGGAGATATTGTAAAGATAATTTACGCATTTGGTGGTAACTATTCGATTGCTAGGGTTCCTTCAAATGCTAAGGATCTATGATGATGCAACATATTTCTATTCAAGAAACCATTTTTTGTGGTCTAAAAAGTATCTGCATCAAGAATCTCCCTCTGATCTTGAGAGATCCATCCATATCTGCAAGTAAATTAATGTATAAATTGAGAAATATTTAGTGTTATATTGTAAGCTTAAGTCATAGCAAAGATGATCACGGATATCAAAGATTATCTAATTTTTTTGTTTGTTTGTTTTGCAGTACGCGGGCCTCTCACTGCTGTGGCCTCTCCCGTTGCAGAGCACAGGCTCTGGACGCGCAGGCTCAGCGGCCACGGCTCACGGGCCCAGCCGCTCCACGGCATGTGGGATCTTCCCGGACCGGGGCATGAACCCGTGTCCCCTGCATCAGCAGGCGAACTCTCAACCACTGCGCCACCAGGGAAGCCCTACACATGAAAATTTTTAGTTTCCTACAAAGACAATTTCACCTTAGTTGCTAAAGTACAAATATGTGTTTACTGATATGTTTTCAGTATTTGTGTCCAATAAGTACACTTTAAAAGAAGTTTTAAAAATTAAGAAGAAATAAATCCTTAAAACACCATTCAAGGGGGCCAAATGTCTGTGGTTATTTTAAAAGTGACATTTAAAAGGGAAGAAATGATAAAATGGAGCACACTAAGAAAGCAACCGATGACACATCAGAAAACATTTACTAATTCTTAGGATACAGTACAGAAACTTTCCAAATATTAAACTTAATAAGGAAATTTGAGAATAAAAATGTTCTATCACAGCCACTCAGAAAGAAGGCGCTCTGAAGGAAAGGCATGGTAGAGAAAGCACTGGTCTATCCTGAGACCTGTTTTGAATTTCTGTTCTACCATTCAGCTCTATGACAACAGGAAGTTTTGTTAACAATTTTGGAATTCAATTTTCTTCTCTTCAAAAAAAATGGGAATACTGTTTTATTTCTAAGGTTTTTTTCACCTTTAAAAGTTATCACTCCAAGGCTTCCCTGGTGGTGCAGTGGTTGAGAGTCCGCCTGCTGATGCAGGGGACACGGGTTTGTGCCCCGGTCCGGGAAGATCCCACATGCCGTGGAGCGGCTGGGCCCGTGAGCCGTGGCCGCTGAGCCTGCGCGTCCAGTGTCTCTGCTCCGCAATGGGAGAGGCCACAACAGTGAGAGGCC